CACTAGGCTGGGGTACATTCAAAGTACTAAATAAACTTGAACACACATGGTTTGATATTTCAAAATGTGATTACTTAAAAGAAAATATCCAGCTTGTTTGTTTTGACAATGAACTTTATGCAACAGGAAAACAACAAAACCAACCAGACGGACCTTGTAAACTTTTTGTCTTCTGTGACAACAGCTGGGATGAAATTTTAACAATGCCCGGTCAGAATTTGTTGTTGCTGTCACATGAACAATGTATTTACATCTTAAACAAAGACGATAAAACAATATACAAGGTCAATCCAAAGAAAAAAAATCCAAATTTAGAAAAATTTACAGATTTTCCAGAAAATGTTGAAGTTAAACATGCAATGATTTTTGAAAGATATATTTTAATGTTTAGCTCTATAACTCACATTGGTAATGAAGAAACAGCTGTTCATAAACTTGATATTTCGTCCAAAATGTGGACCAGGTTAGACAATTTGGATGGAGAAGCAGAACACATAATTAGTTTTAGGAATGACAAACACAGCTATTTTTTACAAAGCAATGGTAGCTTGTGGTGTATTTTAAATGAACCTTTCAGTCTCAACACAAAACTAACATTTCTTTTCAAACTTTGGAATTCACAAAAGAAGTTATACGGCGCTTTGACCTATAATGGACAGTTAAATATTGTGGGAAATTTCCAACCAGGAGATACAATAAAAACAGTTCCTGATCATATTCAAAGCACTCATGGGTGGATGACTAATGAAAAATGTTCCAATTGCATTCCAATTACAATGTTAAAAATACGGTAGCCTCTATTATCATACTACTGAGAAAGGCAATAAGTTTGAACCAACTCAGCAGTTCGACTTGACAGTTCAAGTGTTTATTATTACACACCCTATATGAATCTCTCGAAAATATTCGGTAGATTAAAAAAAAATGATTGTGTGTAGAATTTTGAAAAGAAACGAGATATCGAATTTAAAAATCATAAACAGGTTTGGTAGTCTATAAATATATTTGTTCGTTAACTACATTTAACCTTAGGAAAGAAAATATGATATTTTACTTGATTAAGTCAGTTATACGTACTTGTTATATATACTTGTAGTATCGGGCAGAATATCAAAACTATTGATAAACATTCTACAAACAGACAGTAGTTAAATAATTTTTAAAATGTCACAAACATAAAATGCATGTTCTAACTCTATATACATTGGTACATTTATTTACATATACTCATATTAAATATAATGCTGCTTTATAATGAAAATATACATTCGAAAAAAGTTCCAGTTTTATAGTTTTACATGTATACAAGTATTTTTACGTGTGTTTTAATACATAGGTTTTATAATAGGAATTACAATTTTTACAATTTATTTTGCAAACAATCTATTTATACAATGGATATATTATAAATGATAATAAAAGATGTTTTAAACTTTACAGATTTAATTCTTTCATACTTTTATTATATAAATGTATATATATATATATATATATATATATATATATATATATATATATATATATATATATATATATATATATATGTTATGGTCAAAGCCCGAAGTCGGCCAATGCTAGGATTGGCCGGCCAATCCGCGCATTGGCCAATATCGCCTCCCATAGGTCGGTCAAAGTCCGAAACTTTGCTTGAATTCGGCCAAAGTCTTAATTAGAAGATCATCTGGCTAGGGATGACCGGCCAAAGTCCGAATTAGAAGATCATGAGCAGATTTTGGGTTTTTTTTAATGCCGTAAGGATCATGAAATTAAGTCTTTATTGATTATTAATTAAAGTAAATGACAGAAACATTCAAATTTTTATTGTACTATAGTCTCAATCTATCAATATCATCATTTGTTACAACAAGTTGAACTTTTATGGCATTTAGAATTACATAGCAGCTTGTTATTTCTACATGCAGCGATTTGTTGTGCACTTAGTTGTGCAATTGCAGTGAGTGTAGCCTTGGCCCCCAGTCAATGATTGTGAAGATGCGATGGTTCGTAGTGATTTTTCCTCAGTGCCAACTGACGACAATAAGAGCAGTTTTTCGTGAAGAATTGAAAACTCGCTTCTAGCATACAGTTGTTTTAGAACACCATGTTCCGTTCCTAATTTGTAGAAACCGCCCTCGACGCTCATGACAACTGCAATCACGCTTCGCGGATCACCGTGACCTCTGTCAACATCTGGAAAACGAATGCGTACATTGTCATCCACTTCACCATCTTTAAATTTTGTATTTGATGTTTTAAGCATCTTAGCACCTTGAATTTGCAAGCCAGTATGAGCTGCTGATCTGTGTTCCATGATGTCTTGTTTGTTGTGACACAATCTGCAGGTAATGTTCCCTCCGTACCCTTCGTCTGCTTCATTGGGTATTCCACAAAAAGCATGGACATCGTTGCCACAGGATCCAAAAGAATGAGCTGCACAAACTATATAGAATCTGTTGGCCACATTATTGTCACGCATCTGGTCTTGGTGTTCCGCCACGGCAGTAGATGTGTGAGCTGAGGATGTCGTTGCATTTATGGCAACCTCCATTTCTTGTTCAATGTTCTCAAGATCTTCCTCGGTAATAATTTTATCGAGAGCCCATATATGGAAACTAACATGGATTTACATTTTTTTTTCTTTTGACAGTCATCTGCTATGGCTGTCTCATGGTCTGACGGCCCTTTTGATCCATGTCGCCTTGTATATAAAATGCTATACAAACAAGAGCTGAACAATACGTTACTCTCAATGAAAACGCACCCAGAATAATGAAAATGCGATCACAACTTAGTCTAGATAGAACATTGGCCAGGACATTCCGGCCAGTGCGCGCATTGGCCGGCCACTGTACAAAATACGCTGTCAAGTTTAAGCGCTTCGGACTTTGGCCAGTACGTCCTGGCCAGTGCGCGCATTGGCCGGGCAATGTACGAAATACGATTTTATTGCTAAGTTCTTCGGGCTTTGGCCAAGAGAGCCGGCCAATGCGCGGATTGGCCGGCCAATCCTAGCATTGGCCGCACTTCGGGCTTTGACCGTAACATATATATACATATATAGTATATATATATACATATATAGTGTATATATATATATATATATATATATATATATATATATATATATATATATATATACATATATAGTGTATATATATATATATATAGTGTATATATATACATATATAGTGTATATATATAGTGTATATATATATATATATATATATATATATATATATATATATATATATATGTATAGTGTATATATATAGATATATATATATATATATATATATATATATATATATATATATATATATATATATATATATATATATATATATACTATTGATCAATTGTTTGTTGAATTCTTTATTTTTATATTTTACATAGCATTAAGACGAGTTAATTTTGTTTTTAGACATTTGTATTCAAAATATTTAGTTCGGATGTTAAATTTATCAACGTATTTTCTGCACTATAATCATACCAAGTTCTAGTTTGCTGAAACAAATTGTTATAATATAATTTTTTAGTAACATAATCGATACGCCTAACCTAACTTTTATCCTTCTTACGGGTCAATAATATTTGGACAACAATCATGGTGGAAAAATATTATAAACTTAACGGCAAAGTGCGAAAAAGGTATTTTATGATAATTTGAGATAAAAACAGAGCTTCTTCCAAGCATCTCATAGGCTCCGCCACTGAAAAAAGTCTACCGACCCCCCCCCCCCGAACGAAATGGAAAATATATACATTTAACAGTTACCGCCCCCCGAAAATTTCAAGCCCCCCCCCCCCCCCAGCGGAGAAAAAAAGTCTGGAAGAAACACTGATTAAAAACATGTTAACAGGGAAGAATCATTGTAGCCTTTCTGTTGTTTTATTTTTATGTTTAATTCTTGTAATCCACTAATTACTTTTTTGTATTATTAATAGTGTGCAATTATTTTAATAATACCGCATCAATGGTAATGTAATATATGTAGGCCCTATGTCAGAAACAAATACAGATAAAGATAAGTATTAAGTGATAAAGAAAACAAAGGGGATTTCTAGAAAAGTTTGTAATTTTTTAGTTATCCGCATAACTAAAATGGTAATCACGCTGTTGGTATTTTAGAATTCGGAGATTAAGTACAACTTCTTTTTATTTGTGATCATCAAAAATGGAATTGACAGTAATTCAATAATAAAATATTGTACTTATTCACGAAATTTCTTCTAACTACCTAGTACAGTGCTCAAGTTATATTCTTCAGACTGAAATCAAGTAAAATACCATTTTGGTTTACAGAAAATCGTTCGCAATTTGGTAAAAACATTGGCATTTAATCTATTACTTACATGTCAAATTTCGTGAAACTCACATAAACGGTACTCAAGATATTTGCAGAAACCAAAAGTTGAGTATCACTTCCGTTTACCGGAAATCGTTCAATGGTTGAGACAAAACTACACATTTTATATAATACCCATACATGAAATTTCGTCAACATAACTCAATAGGTACTCAAGTTATTTTGTACACAGACAGACAGACACACAGACATACTAACAAAATCGCCAAGCCCAGTTTTTCCGTCTCAATGACGCGTAAAAGGCCGAGATTTTAATAAGCCTAAATTTGGAATTATTGCCCGATTAAAATAAGCCACATACATTCAGTATATGATGAGGTACTGAGGTGTTAAACTTTGAAAACAGTCAAAATTTCAAGTGATTTATGTGCACCTTTACAATACTTCCTCTACACTCTGTACTCTGTATACGAGAAAGTAAAAGTTAATCATCATCCGACGGATTTTGAAGCCAGCTGGTCGCTAATATTTAACTACTACTCGAGATTCAATATGTTTTTATTTTATTTAGCCTCATTTGACTTGTGCACACCTCAAACCTAACTCAAAATATACTTTTTTGTGTCGCAGCGCTAAAGAACACGTGTAGTAAATCAACACAGAGCGCCACATATTATTTCACTTCCTGTCTTTCAAAAACAATCTATAGGACACAAAAGCTGTAGTGAACAATTTTTTGGTAAATTTTTCCCTCTGTCCCGAGGATACACTGGACGGTTGAAGTAAAGTACACCATATGTTTTTTATCTTGGTTTTTAAAGCTATTTTGTGTTTAACGTTGTGTCCAATTATCAAGTGGTCAGCACCGTGTCCAGTTATCGTGTATTCAGTACCATGTCAAGTTATCATGTAGTCAGCACCATGTCCAGTTATCATGTGGTCAGAACCATGTCCAGTTATCATGTGGTCAGCACCATGTCCAGTTATCATGTGGTCAGAACCATGTCCAGTTATCATGTGGTCAGAACCATGTCCAGTTATCATGTGGTCAGAACCATGTCCAGTTATCGTGTGGTCAGCACCATGTCCAGTTATCATGTGGTCAGAACCATGTCCAGTTATCATGTGGTCAGAACCATGTCCAGTTATCATGTGGTCAGAACCATGTCCAGTTATCGTGTGGTCAGCACCATGTCCAGTTACCATGTGGTCAGAACCATGTCCAGTTATGTGGTAAGCACCATATCCATTTATCATGTGGTCAGAACCATGTCCAGTTATCACGTGGTCACAGCACCATGTCCAGTTATCATGTGTTCAGCTCCATGTCCAATTATCACGTGGTCAGCACCATGTCCAGTTATCATGTGGTCAGCACCATGTCCAATTATCACGTGGTCAGCACCATGTCCAGTTATGTGGTCAGCACCATGTACAGTTATGTGGTCAGCACCATGTCCAGTTATCATGTGGTCAGCACCATGTCCAGTTATGTGGTCAGCACCATGTACAGTTATGTGGTCAGCACCATGTCTAGTTATCATGTGGTCAGCACCATGTCCCGTTATCATGTGGTCAGCACCATGTCCAGTTATCATGTGGTCAGCACCATGTCCAGTTATCATGTGGTCAGCACCATGTCCAGTTATGTTGTCAGCACCATGTCCAGTTATGTGTTCAGCACCTTGTCCAGTTATCACATGGTCACAGCACCATGTCCAGTTATCATGTGGTCAGCACCATGTCCAATTATCACGTGGTCAGCACCATGTCCAGTTATCATGTGGTCAGCACCATGTCCAATTATCACGTGGTCAGCACCATGTCCAGTTATGTTGTCAGCACCATGTTCAGTTATGTGTTCAGCACCATGTCCAGTTATCATGTGGTCAGCACCATGTCCAGTTATCGTGTTCAGCACCATGTCCAGTTATGTGGTCAGCACCATGTACAGTTATCATGTGGTCAGCACCATGTCCAGTTATCATGTGGTCAGCACCATGTCCAGTTATGTGTTCAGCACCATGTCCAGTTATCATGTGGTCAGCACCATGTCCAATTATCACGTGGTCAGCACCATGTCCAGTTATGTGGTCAGCACCATGTACAGTTATCATGTGGTCAGCACCATGTCCAATTATCACGTGGTCAGCACCATGTCCAGTTATGTGGTCAGCACCATGTCCAGTTATCATGTGGTCAGCACCATGTCCAATTATCACGTGGTCAGCACCATGTCCAGTTATGTGTTCAGCACCATGTCCAGTTATCATGTGGTCAGCACCATGTCCAGTTATGTGGTCAGCACCATGTACAGTTATGTGGTCAGCACCATGTCCAGTTATCATGTGGTCAGCACCATGTCCAGTTATCGTGTTGTCAGCACCATGTCCAGTTATCATGTAGTCAGCACCATGTCCAGTTATGTGGTCAGCACCATGTCCAGTAATCACGTGGTCAGCACCATGTCCAGTTATCATGTGGTCAGCACCATGTCCAATTATCATGTGGTCAGCACCATGTCCAGTTATCATGTAGTCAGCACCATGTTCAGTTATCATGTGGTCAGCGCCATTTCCAGTTATCATGTAGTCAGCACCATGTTCAGTTATGTGGTCAGCACCATGTACAGTTATGTGGTCAGCACCATGTCCAGTTATCATGTGGTCAGCACCATGTCCAGTTATGTGGTCAGCACCATGTACAGTTATGTGGTCAGCACCATGTCTAGTTATCATGTGGTCAGCACCATGTCCCGTTATCATGTGGTCAGCACCATGTCCAGTTATCATGTGGTCAGCACCATGTCCAGTTATCATGTGGTCAGCACCATGTCCAGTTATGTGTTCAGCACCATGTCCAGTTATCATGTGGTCAGCACCATGTCCAATTATCACGTGGTCAGCACCATGTCCAGTTATCATGTGGTCAGCACCATGTCCAATTATCACGTGGTCAGCACCATGTCCAGTTATGTTGTCAGCACCATGTTCAGTTATGTGTTCAGCACCATGTCCAGTTATCATGTGTTCAGCACCATGTCCAGTTATCATGTGGTCAGCACCATGTCCAGTTATGTGTTCAGCACCATGTCCAGTTATCATGTGGTCAGCACCATGTCCAATTATCACGTGGTCAGCACCATGTCCAGTTATGTGGTCAGCACCATGTACAGTTATCATGTGGTCAGCACCATGTCCAATTATCATGTGGTCAGCACCATGTCCAGTTATGTGTTCAGCACCATGTCCAGTTATCATGTGGTCAGCACCATGTCCAATTATCACGTGGTCAGCACCATGTCCAGTTATGTGGTCAGCACCATGTACAGTTATCATGTGGTCAGCACCATGTCCAATTATCACGTGGTCAGCACCATGTCCAGTTATGTGGTCAGCACCATGTCCAGTTATCATGTGGTCAGCACCATGTCCAATTATCACGTGGTCAGCACCATGTCCAGTTATGTGTTCAGCACCATGTCCAGTTATCATGTGGTCAGCACCATGTCCAATTATCACGTGGTCAGCACCATGTCCAGTTATGTGGTCAGCACCATGTACAGTTATGTGGTCAGCACCATGTCCAGTTATCATGTGGTCAGCACCATGTCCAGTTATCGTGTTGTCAACACCATGTCCAGTTATCATGTAGTCAGCACCATGTCCAGTTATGTGGTCAGCACCATGTCCAGTAATCACGTGGTCAGCACCATGTCCAGTTATCATGTGGTCAGCACCATGCCCATTATGTGGTCAGCACCATGTCCAGTTATCACACACATGCTCTTTTTCTCTCACAAACATTCTCTCTCTTACACACACTATCTCTCCTCTCACATACAATATCTCTCATACACACACACACGCTCTTTGTCTCACACATACTCACTTTCTCTGTATCTCACGCACACACTCTCTCATGCACACACACACACACTCCCACATACACTTTCTCACACAAACACTCCCTCTCACACACAGTCTCTCATACACACACATACTCTTACACATACACTCTCTCTCTCATACACATACTCTCTCTCTCACACGCACACACACTCTCTCATGCACACACACACTCCCACATACACTTTCTCACACACACACACTCTCTCTCTCTCACACACACACACTCTCCCTCTGTTTTCTTACACATTTTTTACTTTTTTCGACCATCGTTAGAATTTAGTTGTTAAGTTTCTTGCCATTTTTCGACGCAAAAACGTTAAAGTGTCTTCTCTCATGTATAGATTAGGCACAGTGATATAGTTTTGCTGTTTTTTTTTAAAAAAAAAAGGAAATTTAGTTTAGAGTATAGTATGTGAGCAGTTCTTCTTAATCATAAATTTCAGATATTTTTCAAAATGGAAGCTCTAGAATTACACACATACATATTCAAGAGTCTGGAGAATGTGTGGACCAACAAACTGTTGTGTGATGTTACAGTTAAAGTTCAAGACGAAATTTTTGAATGTCATCGACTCCTCCTGGCGGTCGCTTCTGATTTCTTTCTGGCACTTTTTCGTTCTGGGATGAAAGAAGTTACAGAGAATGTCGTAGTTCTACACGACATTTCTAGCGAAGCGTTTCATTTGATATTGAAAGGACTATACACTGGTGCCAATGTTTTAAGTGCTGAGAACTATATCGATGTGTGGAGAGCAGCTCATCAGCTACAGATTCAGACAGTTATTCAACTATGTGAAAATTTTGCTAGTAAAAATATTACAGCGGATACTTGGGAAACAATATATACTATTGCCACAAGTTTACAATCAGAAAGAGTTCTCGCTAAGCTTCAAGAATATATGGTAAATAACTTTAATGAAGTTTGTATTTCCCCAATATTTCTACAACTCACATTTGAAGATTTACGGGATTTAATCAAAAGTCAGGACCTCGTAGTGAGCAGTGAAGATCTGGTCCTGGAGTCTGTGATTAGATGGGTCACGTATGACCCTAAAGTGAAGAATGAGAGAAAAGATTTTACAAAACAAACTGATGAAGATGCTTCCACGAGGGAAAGCACGAGTAAAAACGTGATGTTGGATAAAATAGGCTCTAGGAAAGTTTATCTGAAAAAACTGTTACGAAAAGTAAGAACTTGTCTTGTCAGTCCATTAGTTTTATCAAGCATTCGTAAAATGGATTTTTTATCGGAAGATAGAGATTCAAGAGATATCATCGACTATGCTATATCATATAATGCTGAGGATTTTAGACACTGTCAGTGTCCGTCAACAGCACTTACTAGATCCTGTAGTGGGTACATACATGCTGGCGTTTACCTATGTTGGTTTGGAAGAATTCATGCAATAAACGCAAGCAATGAAAAGTCCTATATTTTATCTAGTTTACGTTGTTTCGACGGAGGTATTCAAATAGTGACATATGATGGGAAGCTCTATCTTGCAGGTGAATTAGCCTACCTAAGAAACGGTTATAATCTGTATGTGTTAACAGGCAAAATCTGGACACAAGTGAAGGAATTGTCATGTGATAACTTGTTATTAGTATCGCACGGTGACTTTATCTATATTCTAAACAAAGATGAGAAAGTAGTATATAGGATGAATCCTAATAAGGAAAGTATGCCTTTGGAAAAGTTTACAGAATTTCCAGAAAATAATAATTCTGTTGTGCATACAGTGTTTCTTCAAAATAATCTTGTGCTGTTTTGCTCTGAGACTCAAAATGGGATTGACAAGACCGCTGTTTATAAAATGGAGATTCCGTCAAAAATATGGACCAGGTTAACGAACCTTCATGGACCAGCCAAACAGCTGATTAGTTTTAAAAATGACAAGCACGACTACATTTTACAGACAAATGGCAGTTTGTGGCTGGTACTTTATTCATCTCACACTGGAAACATTGGCTTTAAATTTCTCGTTAAACTTTGGAATTTTACAAAGAAGTTGTTTGGTGGCTTTACTTTTCAAAATAAGCTGATAATTTGTGGAAACAAACTAGATACGGACCCAACACATGAGAAAAAATTAAGTGAAGTTCCACATCACTTTAAATGTATTCGTTATCTGGGAGCTGATGACGAAAATGTCTCAAATTTCATTCCAGTCACCATACCCAAAGCTTACATTCTTTATGAAAAACGTTGATAATTAGCAATGTTATCATTGTATAAACACCAAATAACAAGCCAATAATCTACTGATCTTTTTAAAAATCTTGTTTATACATTTCCACAAATTTTCCGAAACAAATTTTGTTTCAACTAAATTAAAACCGTTACATACATTTAATTCTAAAACAGATTGTTTTATATATTTGCTGAAACATAAATGTTACGGGTTCATACGTTTTTCGTGAAGTCAAATGTTTGGTAATAAGTAATTTTTTATGCTTGTCGGCCCTATGGCTGTCGGCCTTTTGTCCATGTCTGCCTTTTGTACGTGTCGGCCTTTTGTCTTGTCGGCATTTTTGATGTCGACCATTTGTCCTACACCCAGAACAATGTATTATTTCTAAGATCTTTAAGTCAAAGTACAATAAGTCTATTCTGGAATTTAAAAAAAAGGAATATCTAAAGTGGTGTGTCAGTTTTAGCACGTTATCAAAATCATTCTTCATTGTACATGGAGATTATAAAATAAGTAATTAATACAGGGTTTTAGTATGATCAACCAAACTATTTTAAGATGTACATTTTTGATACTTTTGTGATTTTTAATTTCTGTTTAAATTAACATTTATAGATCCGTACATGATTTTATACATCGCATTTAAACACTACAATGTTTAGATACTTTAGTGGTTTTAAAATTTGTTTACATAAAAATTAATTATTTTGATGACAAGTTTTAAATAAAATAAAAATCTAAAAAAGATGTCATATGTTTTTGTTTTTCTGCGTGTTTGCGTCTGCATGTTACTATATACTTTAGTTCATGAATGAATCATTCAGATTGTTATCATTTCTTATACAGCATCAACATAACAGTAAAATACAATGTCATATTCGGATTATTCCGAAAAGATTTTTTTTTACTTCAAAAGATTCTATAAACATATTGCAACGATTGCGAGATATCTATTGCTTTTTCTAACTGTCACATGCCTGTATTTTGTAGAAGGATTTCCAAAAAACAAAATACCTTGCAGGGTATTTAAAAAACAATCATGCATCATTTATTAATCAAACGAAAATGTTAAACAGTTGTATTTTGCTTGCTGATGACAAAGTACACAGTTCATGTCTTCATTGATTATGAACTCTAAACATCTTGAAATAATAATATATTTGATAAAATTGTTTAAAAACAAAGATTTTATATAATTATACACTAAAAAGAGGAAAAAAAATTATCCATATACCTCTAAATACACGATTGTTTACCACTCTGATGGGTACCTAAGTAAAGGCGGCTTTGCATAGTTCACCACAATATCTCTTCATATGCCGAGGTCACAGAAACAAGTGAACTCTACTTCACTTGCCCCATAGACCGTCAGGTTTGAAAGGGAAACTTTACTTTTTTACTTTCTCGTATATACGAAGTATAGAGAAAATCTTGTAATCGTGCAAAAAAAATCGAGATTTCTTTACAAATCTCGACGTCTTACACCTCCCTGAGTCGGAAAAACATATTTTTGCAATCTTGTCCGTATGTCTGTGTGTATGTGTGTGTGTGTGTCTGTCTGTAAATTCGATAACTTGAGTACCATTACAGCTATGGTGATGAAATTTCATATATAAGTTTTTCATCAAAATCGTAGATCAGTATCAACTTTTGAGCGCTTTCCGATAAATGGAAGTGGTACTTTTTCTAATTTGAATTTTTCAAAAGCCTATAACTTGAGTCCTATTTCAGATAGATAAATGATATTTCGCATGTACGTAAAAATTCTAGTTATCCAACTTCTATCAACTTTTGAGTAATTTCCGTTGAACGGAAGTAGTAATTTACGCTATTTCCGATTTCTCAAAAAACGCATGTAAATTTATAAAGTACAAAAAATACTCCGCACTATTATGCACATTTTGTTTTGGCGTTCGGTTGGTGCGCAATTCTTTTTTCTACGAGATTCTATTCTATTTTTAAAAGTTTAAGTAATCAAAAATCATGTCTATATTCCGAGTTGCCATCCCACGTAGTATTATATAAGAATATTTCCGAGAAAGTTTAGGGGAGATCACTCCCGGTTCATTTTTTATTTTATTTTACAACACAAGAACAATGCTTTAATTTTCAAAATATGGCTTGCAATAGGCTATGTTGCCGATTGAAAAGTTCAGTGAAATATAAAGCTAAAAATCCAACGACAATAGCTTTAATGATATGTCGGTTTATTATTTTTATAGCTTGCTACACTAGTACCAATTTTCAATGGGATACACGTGACAGATTGTAGACTACAACTCGAGAAAATAAAGCGTTTAATTACTGATCAACTAGAATTTAGAACTAAGCCTCTTTGAAAATACAAAAGAAGTATAAAACATCAATTATGTAGTTTTTTTAACGAAATATCTCTTTATTAGCATCGAGAAAAGTTTAATTTGGATATAATTTAATTAAAAAATAATATCAGGGGTAATTTTTCTTAAGGTTAAGTATGACCTACCTTGAAAATTCTTACAGACATTATGTGAAATAACAAAAAAAAACTTTATTGCCAACTGCATATCCCACGTATTTGCGAGACGAAAGAAAACCTGTAAAAATGCTAGTTCGGGACCCTATATAAAGATGTTACGGATTGGAATATCCCAACACGTATAAATGGTACTAATTCATTGTTATTATTACGATATTAGCTTGATGATTGTTCTTTTGTTATTCCTTTTAGATCTAGGTACCAGCACTATAATTATTTATAGGCGACGTTGGCAGATATTCCGATTCCACGCTTAAAAAAAATATATATTATTTACTAAAAAAGAAAAAAAATATAAAAAGAATAATACAGTTTAAAAAATAATAACCAATAAACACAGTGTTTTAACTTATTTATTTAAGCTATTAAATCTCTTTAGGTATAACAAAAATCATTTTTTAAATTGATTTATATCGGCTATATCTGTTTTGGATGTTTATTCTTAATAGTATGCAATTTTTTATTTGATGTATGAAAGTTAACATTAAAACATCCTCATCCTCTTGTGCAAGTATCGAAAAAAAAAATCCATATGATCACCCCCCCCCCGCCACCTACTCCCCTTAACCGCATGGGCATCAAGGGTGCCCGTGTGCGTAATCTAAGCATGAGTCGCGTTTCGGTGCTCAGTTGGTTTTTTAATTTATGGCAAACTGAACAGCGGTCACAAAAAAGTCGGCCTTTATGTTATGTAGGTTGACCCTGTCAGACAATCGTTTCCCCGTTTGTCCAATGTAAAAGATGTTGCATCGCCTACACTGGATGACATAAACTACGTTACGGGACGACAGTAAAAGTGATGTTTTATTCTGAGGGTTTTCTTAGACAACTGGAGTGATTCAACCTGAAGGGTGAAATGACAGGTATTGCATATGCGGGACAATGAATGGTGCCAAACATTGTGATGATAGTGGGTGGCAGGCCGCTCCGGACTAAAAATTCTCTAAGATTGTGTTCTCTTCTAAACACAACCAAAGGATTCTGTTGAAATAAATGGCGTAAGTGTGGATCTGACTTACTGATAGAAAAATTTTTTATAATGAAGTTTTTTTTAGCCAAAACCGAATGAGGGGGGTAGGGTAAGATGTGTTAAGTTCTAACTGACTTTTGTTTTAGAAATTGTAGAAAGGAGGCCTGGTGGTCAACAGTTCTTATGCGGTGTAGTGCTGACTGGAGTATATGCTCCGTGTATTGCCTTATGCGGTGTAGTGCTGACTGGAGTATATGCTCCGTGTATGGCCTTATGCGGTGTAGAGCTGACTGGAGTATATGCTCCGTGTATGGGCTTATGGGGTGTAGTGCTGACTGGAGTATATGCTCCGGGTATGGCCTTATGCGGTGTAGTGCTGACTGGAGTATATGCTCCGTGTATTGCCTTATGCGGTGTAGTGCTGACTTGAGTATATGCTCCGGGTATGGCCGTATGCGGTGTAGTGCTGACTGGAGTATATGCTCCGGATATGGGCTTATGCGGTGTAGTGCTGACTGGAGTATATGCTCCGGGTATGGCCTTATGCGGTGTAGTGCTGACTGGAGTATATGCTCCGGGTATGGCCTTATGCGGTGTAGTGCTGACTGGAGTATATGCTCCGGGTATGGCATTATGCGGTGTAGTGATGACTGGAGTATATGCTCCGGGTATGGCCTTATGCGGTGTAGTGCTGACTGGAGTATATGCTCCGGGTATGGCCTTATGCGGTGTAGTGCTGACTGGAGTATATGCTCCGGGTATGGCCGTATGCGGTGTAGTGCTGACTGGAGTATATGCTCCGGGTATGGCCTTATGCGGTGTAGTGCTGACTGGAGTATATGCTCCGGGTATGGCCTTATGCGGTGTAGTGCTGACTGGAGTATATGCTCCGTGTATGACCTTATGCGGTGTAGTGCTGACTGGAGTATATGCTCCGGATATGGGCTTATGCGGTGTAGTGCTGACTGGAGTATATGCTCCGTGTATGGCCTTATGCGGTGTAGTGCTGACTGGAGTATATGCTCCGGGTATGGCCTTATGCGGTGTAGTGCTGACTGGAGTATATGCTACGGATATGGGCTTATGCGGTGTAGAGCTGACTGGAGTATATGCTCCGGGTATGGCCTTATGCGGTGTAGTGCTGACTGGAGTATATGCTCCGTGTATGGCCTTATGCGGTGTAGTACTGACTGGAGTATATGCTCCGGGTATGACCGGAGTAGGAAGAACTGTAATCACTATAATTGCGCACTTGAAAACAATTGAAATAGGGCTATTACAACTTTTGCACCAACGAAGTGCGTTTATTTTACACATGTTTACTTCCGATCATACAGTATATTAGAACCTTTTAAGTTTAAAGTATTTTCTTTAGGTGCAGGCGAATTTTGTGAAAGTGTGTATTAATAAGGACTCAGGGTAGAGCTGAGAAAGATCGTTTTAAACAATAGACAGTTGCTGTATACTACAATTATTATTTCGAAATAGAGCAACATTTCACCATTTAGTAAGAAGTTGTAAGCAAAAAGCTTACGTTAAATCTGTATTGGTTTTGTGCACCATTAATTTTAAAGCCGTGTATACTTTCAAATCCTTACCACTATAGATATAAATCTTTACATACGGTAAGTAGACGCGTATGAGTTTATAACTTGGATAACTTAGAGGCATATCATGGTATGGGGCATGTAGAGCGATCACTTTCAACGTCTAATAATTCTTTGAGACAAGCATTATTTGGAAATGTAACGAAATATTAAACCAAAACTGGGTTTATAAAGCCGTGTAGCATATGGTATGTATAAAAATAAAAATATTTGTGAATGGTCTTTGGTGAATATCATTTCCAGTAGGTGTAGGGAACAGACAATAAGAGCAACAGCCTGTGTGCAGTCAATCGATGCAAACTATGAAGAGCTGAGACCCTTACAACTTTCATCATTCAGTTTAACTAGAACTGTAAAAGGGGCATGTGGTTGTGATAAAGATATCTGTGTATAAGATTATGTATATATATAAATAAATAAATATATATATATATATACATATATATATATATATATATATATATATATATATATATATATATATATATATATATATATATATATATATATACATGCGTGTGTATGTGTGTGTGCACGCATGTTTTTGTGTGTATACAGAAAAGTTTTTATTGTTTTGACTTTTTTTTTTACTCTGGTAGGTATTTTAAAATCTGTTACAAGTTTGCTTACATCATGACCACACCAGAAGTCTGTACTCAAATCGTCAAGTGTCTGCAGGATGTGTGGACTGACAAAATGTTGTTTGACTTTGCCGTCAAGATCTGTGACGAAACAATACAATGTCATCGACTCATCCTAGCGGCCTGTTCCGATTTTTTCAAGGCACTTTTTCGTTCTGGTATGAGGGAAGTCACAGAGAACTGTGTTGTTCTACAAGATGTTTCTTGTGACGTGTTTCAGTTAATTTTAAAAACAGTATACACAGGTGAAAATACTTTAACTTTAGTAAATCTTTTTGAAGTGTGGCGAGCAGTAAATCGCTTACAGATAACATTCATGATTGATTTGTGTGAGAATTTTGCTATTAAAGCAATCAACATAGACACTTGGGAAAATATTTACAGCAATGCAAAAATGTTTGATTCAGAAAAGGTTATTAAACAGCTTCACATATTCATGTTAAAAAACGTTGATCAAATATGTCTTTCATCGACATTTCTACAGCTGTCTTTCAACGAAGTCAGGGATTTAATCAAAAGTCCAGAACTTAACGTCGTCTGTGAAGATGTTGTGCTAGAATCAGTTATAAGGTGGGTCAAACAAGTTCCTTATCATGAACTCTACACGTACGATTGCCTTTCTGCACATTGTATATCTGAGCCGAACCGAAACAATACGGTAACAGAAACCGCAGTGGTTGAAAAAAGACAAGGCGAGGTTACTGAAGTTCTTGACGAACTGAAACACGATTCTGTTAAAGATGTGAACCCGATTATAGCAGAAACTAATGAGAACAACGATTCAATTCGTGATAAACTTCTTGAAAAAAAGGATGATCATTTAGAAAGAAAGCAACACCTTTCAGAACTTGTAAAACTAGTAAGGACATGTCTTGTGAGCCCGGCTGTTTTAGCTCGTGTCTATAAAATGGAAATGATATATGAAAATAATGTCTTAAGAGATATAATGTTTAATGCAAGTCATTATGTCCAAAACTTTAGACACGGTCAGTGGCCAACAGCTGCCGTGCACAGAGCATGTAGTGAGTACATAAATGCTGCAGTATTTGAACAGCGATGTGGTGGATTTAGCGTATTAGATATACTCGAGAACAAATGGTTAACTGTTTCAAGATGTGAATACTTACAAGAAAATATTCAGCTCGCCTCTTTTGATAGTGAGCTCTACGCTTCAGGAAAACAACAAAACCAACCAAATGAACCGTGTAAACTTTTTGTCTTCTGTGATAACAACTGGGTGGAAGTTGTAAAAATGCCCGGCCAGAATTTGTTGTTGCTGTCACATGAACAATTTATTTACATCTTAAACAAAGACAATAAAGTTATTCATAGGGTAAACCCAAAGAAAAAAATTCCAATTGTAGAAAAGTTTACAGATTTTCCAGAGAATGCTGAAGTAAAACACGCAATGATTTATGAAAAATATTTTTTAATATTTTGTTCTGAAACTCACAACGGCAATCATGAGACATCAGTCCACAAATTGGATATTTCGTCCAAAATTTGGACCAAATTAGACAATTTAGATGGATCTGCAGAACACATAATAAGTTTTAGGAATGACAAACACAGCTATGTTTTACAAAGCAATGGCAGTTTGTGGTGTATTTTACATGTACCTTCAAGTCTCAACATTAAGCTCAACTTTGTTTTCAAACTTTGGAGTTCACAGAAAAAGTTATACGGCGCTTATACCTATAATGGTAAATTGTGCGTTATGGGAAATTTCACGGAACACGTGCAAGCAGGACATTTTAGAAAGTATACGGTCCCAGAACACATTCAAAGCGTTTTTTATTGGAGAAACGACAACCAATGTTCTAATTTGATTCCAATTACAATGCTGAAAATTCATTAGTATATTTAAATTTATATGCAACATACTGATCTGCATTTCTTTAATATTGTATCTTACTGCACCTAATTAAGTTTTCACTTGGATGATATAGAGATTATTAATACATTTCTCTTTATATGTCTTTTTTTCCGAATCAAAATTACATTTAAAAAAATAATTATATAACCATTAAATATATGATTTATATTTTCATTCATGATTTGCATGTTGCGACATAAAACACCCATACTGTCCATGATGCATGTATAAAAATTTTAAGTCAAATCGAAAATGACATTAACCTTAAATTATTAATCTTAATGATTCTTTAATTAAATGAAGGCTTGTCTAATTTACAGTATATAGCTAAATTGAAATCTGAATGCTTTTATTTCCATAATTTTAATTAAATTTTCTTTTTAAAGTAAATAATCTAACAATACGTCTACTAATTGGGTTATAACCATATTTCGTTATCTTAAGATAGATATTCTCCATTTTAGTTTGTTTTGATCCAGAAACGAAAATAAATTTCCACACGAGAGTAACACAATTTAATTAATACTATAGGTTGGGCATTTACAAAATGGCTGGTATACTTGAAGCAAACTAGCATTATTTATTGTTGAATATACTACAAAGTACTACATATATTTAATATAAAACAAAAGACACAAAATTCATCGAAAAGATTGTGTCTAAAGTTACTTTAATTGTTCTTTTTTTTTTAAATTTATAACTCAATGCTGCTTTTGGTTTTGAAAAACAGATTCAACAGTATACTTAGTTACATGTTTTTTACAAGTATATATTGTATTTATACACGTGTTTACACACATGCTTTTGAGAATATAGATTTCCTCACATTTGTTTTGTTTTACAACTTATGATGCATAAGCTGCATAATATAGCCCTTATTTATTCAATACATGCAATAAGATATTAAATAAACGCTTATTCAAAATTTACATTTAGTTCTTTAATTTTTTATTTTTTGTATACAATTGTAAGATTTTGATTTTATCAAAATTTAAAATGTATTTTATAATCAGAAAAATAGCGATTTAATTGATGAGGCTTGAGAGCTGGGGACAGCAACAGTTCTAGGAGAGTTAACTCTGGTGCCTTGAAATTTGCTATGAAAGCAAATCCATAAGAAAAGCATGCTGAAATCAAAGTCAACGTCCTGTATGGCGCATAACAATTCATCACGTAATATTTAATTTCTTTGAAGCAAATCCTGTTCAACAATACAATTAAGAACAATAAAGAAGAAGAGCACAGTGTCTTTGAGAATTAAACGAGTTTTAACCGTAATTGCGGGTAATTATATAATTGGGAAATAATTATGGTGGAAACAGAATAATTTTTATGGAAATGTAGGACTATGAATTTTAATGAGTTATAAAGTTTACGACTAGTGGTGTTTAATATTAGTTAGTTTTAAAATCTCAATTATTGATTTGTAAATCAGGTAAATATATAAGATATAATTTCTTATTTAATAAAAACGCTAAAAATAAGAACGAGACCCTTAAACAGGAGAAAAACAAACGTTATCTCGTCATCCCTTCAAACGTAAATTTTCTAGTAATTACCAGCATTTATCAAATATTCTTCTTATTATATGACATTCAGTATATTTGATATGAAATATAAATTCATACATGATTATAAAACAATTGGAAATAGAAGTGTCTTTGGATAATTAATTATATTTAAATTATGAATATAACACGGTTAATTCAATATACCATTAATTGATCATGCAGGGAAAACAACAAAAATACTTTAATAAAATCACTGTTACTTCAAAATTTAGTTTTTACCCTTTTAATAGATATTGTTCATACATTCTAGATTATATCTAGTTCAATAGCACGACAAAGTAATCTAATTTATAATCTAATAATATACTAAACTCAGTTATAACAAAGTAATTAAGTTAATGATAAATATAATCAATAACAGGGGACGTTATTTCTGATTACTTAAAAATAATTTTGATGTTAAAAACAAAACTAAAATGATTTAAAATTATTGTAATATATATTTGATGACATCTATATTATAGTTTAACATTCGCTTATGTTTACACATTCTTTTATTAACCAGTAATTTATAGGTATTTATATTTGTATAGATGTCGTATTTATGGATATAAAACCTGTCCAAAGATGGATAAAATCATATCAGTAAACAATTTTATATGTTACAATATTAACAATTCTAACAAAAGCATTTCTTGCTCTAGAAAATAGATATGACAGTTACTTAATTATACAATGTTTTACAATCCGTCATAAACAAATGTTGAAACATAAGGTGTACCATCATTCATCGGGAAACTCGTGTTAGGTCCTGCAAATAATTGACAGGTAAATCAAAGAACAAATTGCATAACAATCTTTTTAATAAAATCGTTTGTGTAATAATGAACTAAAAAGGAGAAAAATAAATGATTTTCTCTAAATATTTAATAATGAGCCATTATTTACATATAAACATAAAATTTGACGATATATAGTCTATTTACCTACAAATTTGCGCACGAAATATTTAAAAATAAATCATTTTCATTATTTATTCGGCACCACAAAAGCGCTTTATAAAAACATAAGTTCTTTTTTTAACTTCCGACATAACAACTTCTAAAAGACATCGAATTATCGTCTAGAATATAGATCTATCATTTTTGAGTAAGTTTTACAGATAACCTGGCTTAATGGCGGAGATTTGTACAAAGTGTAAATGCGTAGCCTCGGATAAAATTACGAATACAATAAATTAAACTTAATTTAAGTCTTAGGATTAGACTTACACACCATTTTGTTTATGTTTAGTTTTTCAATTATTGATTAAAAGTCGACACTGGATGTTTGATGGTAGAGCGTACGGCTTCTAACGCAAACGTCTGGGGTTTTATATCGGGCTCGAGTTCTAAGAATATCCCTTAGGTTGTAGCATTAAAAATGAATTTTTGAGTATTTTATCTTAAAATCATATGAGTTAGTTAGAGGAAGGATTAAGAATTCCATTGGTACCAAATGTATATTTCTAGCTTCAATAGGAGAGGAGAAATACATTTTTTTCTGTTTAAAATTTATGGTTTTATATAAGCTCTGTAAAAATGAAACTAGTGGGAAACAAAAACGAAAATTTAAAAAAATATGTTTGCAAACATTTTTTTAATTCTAATGATAAATTATGAATCAGGGGTGGTTTCTTTATGTAAATTTGCATTAGTAATCGTGCAGGCTTGTTTCTGTTTGATGTTATGCTTTATTTTAAAAGATGTAGGGGCTTACATTTTTACTATGACTAATTATATAGGAAAAAAAAACATGGGCGATGAAGGTCCAAATCTTAAAAAATTCATAAAAATGTGTGCAGGCAAGTTTTGATATATTTAAATAAAGTTGATTTAGAGCATATATTGTTTTCTAATCAATTTTTTTATCGGCAAAAATGAAAGAAAATGAAAAGTAATTGCATTAGTTTATAGCTGAACCTCAGCAGATTTTACAAATGTAGTTGCTTTGTGTATTGGAAATAATATGATATTAACTTTAAATTAATAAGAGACAGTGGTAACAACAAAATTTGAAAAATCAGCCAAGAGCTCTAGGCACGTTTTTGTATGAAAATCATCTCCCTTTGTTCTAATGCTACATACTAGATTAAAAGTCGACACTGGATGTTTGATTGTAGAGCGTACCGCTGCTAACGCGAAAGTCCGGGGTTTTTATATCGGGCTCGAGTTCTAAGAATATCCCAGAGTCTACCCAACTCCGATATTGCCTGAATTACGTTAGAAAAAGTACAGGCAGCCTGGTGTAATCCTACTACACTATCGCCTTATAAGCCGAGGTTACAAAAACACTTAAACTCTACTTCATCTGTCGCATAGACCACCAAGTTGGAAAGAGAAACTTAACATTTTTCTAAGCTGTTTGAAGCCTACTGCACTAAGGCTAAAATGGATACATTATCTGATCCTAAACCTTACCATATCGTTGATAATTGCCTAACCAAGGATCCTTACAATATCAAATGATTCCTTGGTAGACAAGAATTTTTAAGTCTCTTTATTCCGGATAACCCTAGGTGGATGTTATGCATTTATAAAAAATGAAATATATAAAAGACCTCCAATATGAAGTCAAATTTTAAACTCATATTTTTTTTTAATTATGCAACATTGTAAAACTAAACATTACTTTAGCAATGGTCGGCTATGCACAGTATAGGATATGTCATTTTAGAAGTTGAATCTTGTGTCTTGTAAAAATAAATTGATATCCAGCAATACAGCAATATAGAAAATAATACTTCTGTCTATATATTTCATAAATATGTCGTATATGATATTCTATATTTTCTAATTGTACTTTACATATTATATAATATCCAATTACATATTCAACATAGTCAATTTCGTAAGCACCTAATATATGTTTATGTTGGTACCAATGTATAAATAATTAAAAATAGAAAATGATGCTAAATTTAAAAGATTTGTTTTCCTTTACAGATTTGAAAATATACAAATCAACCAACTAACGTTTTAATGCGCTGGAGATATTATTTTTCAAAGTATTAATCAGAAGAAAAACTCAGGAATGGCTCTAGGCATGTCAATCCCTAATAGAATTTGTAAATGTATTGATAAATTATGGGTGAAAGAAGAACTTTGTGACTTTACAGTTCAAATCAACGACCTTTCCATAAAATGCCATCGCTTCATTCTTGGAGCGTGTTCGCCATTTTTTCTTGGTCTTCTGAGATCTGGAATGAAAGAAGCCAACGAGGGACGTGTAGTTCTACAAAATATATCAGTCTCTACCTTTCAGTTAATCCTGAAAACTTTGTACACCGGTGAAGACGTGTTGAGTCTTGACAACTTCATAGAAATCTGGCACGCTGTGGATATGCTACAGATTGAATTTCTTGTAGAGTTATGTGAAACATTTGCCACTAAAAACATAAAACTTGAAAATTTCAGTGAAATCTTCTCCACTGCCAACCTCTTTAATTCTAAATTAGTGCTGTCGTCGGTTAAAGCATTCCTGATCCAGAACATTAAAGCTATTTACACATCTAAACTTTATTTAGAATTATCGTTTGATGAAATGTGTTTTATAATTAGCAGTCATGGTCTTCATTTCAACAGCGAAGATCCTGTACTAGAGATGGTTCTAAACTGGGCTGAATACAAACATGGTGCTAAAGGTTCTGAAGTGGTAAACAAATTCACTCGTAACCATAAAAAGTTCAAAACAATAGAGCCTGTTCATAGTTTACATAATGTTAGCATGGAATTTTTACAGCATAACAGTTTAGAAGTCGAATCTGCCTTCGTTACTGAATCTACTGATTGTGAAAACAAGCCAATAGATGTAACTCACAATGACAACGAATCAAATCGATCAGAGAGTGAAGATTCAGTACAAACGGATAGTTTGTGTTGTAACTCAAAAACCATTTCTTCAGAAAATCTTAGTACTGATAGATTTGATACAATTTCTCATTGCAGCTCAAATCCCCCTTTTTCCGAAAATCTTAGCTCTGATAGATTTGATGAACTCAACATCTTACTGCGTCAAGTACGAACTTGTATTATAAGCCCAAGTTTACTAACGAATGTTTTAAAACATCGTCTCATTAAACGTAACGATAATGCATGTCAGATAATCCTCTCAGCTGTTGTAAAGCGCATGTCTTTTCGACATGGGCAATGGCCTTCATCAGGTATCTACAGACAGTTTCACAAATACGGGAGCTTTTGTGTCACTTATATGAACGGTACTGGGAAATTCTTGTTGATCGATCCGCTTGATGAAAAAAGGTACACTCTAACGTCGTGTCCCCGATTATGTCGCAACATCCAGCTAGTTGCTTTTGACAAGGAGCTCTACGCTACTGGAGGACAATTTGTCAATCAGATTACAAGTGACATATTTGTTTACAGGGATAAATCATGGACACATGTAGTAGAGATCACAGGAACAAGTATATTACTAGCAAGCAATGGACAATACATATATGTTACAAATGTATCTAAACATGTAATATATCAACATAACCCGAAATGTAATTCTCCCATGGTTAAATTCACAGATCTACCAGCTGCGTGTTTTGCAACACATGTTATGAGCTACCACATGTATCTTCTGTTCTTCAATGGTTTCAAAGAAACAGAAATCCATATGTTAGACCTTCAGGACAAACGTTGGACAAGACTGGACAATCTCGATGGACCAGCTAAAAACATCATCAGTTTTCGTAACGACGACAACCACTTTGTGCTACAAACAAACGGCAACTTGTGGGTTTTGAAAGAAACGGGTGAAAACATCAGATTCACTCGTGTCGCAAAACTGTGGAATTTAGACCAAGTTCTGTACGGAGCTGTCGTTTACGGTGATAAATTGGTCATCTTTTACAAATATCTAGAACACTGGCCGAAAGACACATTTGTTCATAAACTTGACAATGTTTTTCATTCAGTTAGTTATTATAAATTATCATCTCCCTGTTCAAAACTGATTCCTGTTGTTCTGCCAAAATCTAGTCTTTTAAAAATTTTACATAAATGGGATGTCTAGAATGAAGATTATTGTTTTATACGTGCATCACAATTCAGTAATATTGTTCAGCTATTACAAACCCGTAGCTAAATAGCGCATGCAATTTTAATATTAAGGCACAAGTTCAATACGAAACCATCATGTTAAATAATATGACCATGCACACAGTTTTACACCTTTTATATGAACTGGATATATAAAGTTCTCATGTTTAAAAATCTCAACGGATAACATAAAAGAAGTTACTATTTACATCAAAAGAGACTAGCAATGTAATAAACGAAAAATGAAGGACACGGAAGAATGGTATCTAAGTGAATAATTGATGTATATGGTAACGCTACATACAATAATATTTAAAGTTTTTCTACTAACATACATTTTTAAATTAAATAAGTTGACTTCATTTACAACATTAAAAAGAAAGTGGTGTTCATCAAAATTGTGCTATTAAACATATTTTGTAAACTCGTGTTACTTATTTTATTGATTGATGTGAACCGTTTAGGAAATGTTTTTAAAACAAATATATAATTAAGCTGTAGTGATCGCCCCAAAACTATCTCTTATCTAACACATAATTATAAGAAAAACACTTCAGTTAAATCGGGATATAAAAATGGAAGTTAAGTTTGTCAAAAACGCATATGCAAAACATTCTTAAAATTTGCCGCTTGACAATACTGAGCATTCTGCGTAGGTTTCTCATAGTTTTATTTTTCGAAAGAAACTTAAAGGTATATATAGTTTAAACTTTTAAGCTATACATAACCCCTACGTTATGATTTAAGTTACAGGCAATGAATGAGAGCACAATTTGTTTCTAAAGTGTTTTATATCTTTACAGTCTATCTAAATTATTTTTTTAAATACCCCAGGACGATAAAATTATGGTTACATTTTAAATTAAAGCCGTTTGGGAAACATCGATTTCACTCATCTTCATAATGTTGTGTTAAAGGATTTTACTAATTGAAATTTTTATTTAAAACAAAAACGTCTATCGAGTCAAGCAGAGTTGCTTTTTTAAAGTAAACCAACGAAAGTGACAACAATTGTTTTACTTAATAAAAATTAAAAAAAGCACATCGTGAGCCAAGATTAACAAAATGACAGAAGGTGGTAGTTATTAGTTCGATTTCAAGTTTTTAAAAATGAATGGTTTTATTAGTTACGAAAAACAATACAGAAGTATAAACTAAGCGAAACACGTATATGTTGAGAACACTGATAAAATGTCTTTGACGCTGAAAACACTAAAATTAAGCTAAACATTAATTTTTGTCATATTTGATGAAATTTATATTCAAGTTTAGCATTCGCTTATGTTTTCATATTCTTTTTAACCAGCAATGTATCGATACTTGTATTGAAGGATAGAAAACTTTTCTGACTTTCCATAAAATCAAATCTGTAAACAATTCAATAGTTATCAATGTGTTAACAATTATAAAAAATTACTTGCTCTAGAAAAAGGTTATGACGGTTACTTTATATAAAAATGTTTTACACGCCGTCAGGAACATATCTTAAGACAAAAGATTCACCGTCATTCATAGAGCAGACTCGGGGTTGTCCTTCAAATAATTGATCGACAGATGAAAATAAAAACGTGTTTACCACTAAAGAAAGCTTCCTGCTCGACTGTCTCCAACATCAGGTGCCTCTTTATTTAGACATGCGCAAAGCTGCACTCATCATGTGCGCTATGCGACATTCCGCTTTATTAACTTCTAAACAGCGGTATTGATACATAATAGATTAGAAGGATTACTCTCAATTTAATTAGTGGTTCTTAACAACGGCTCAATTGAAACCCAGAGGTTTGGTGAGTCACCGTCAGGGGTGAAAACTCGTACCCGAATTTTATTAGACTTTATTTGCTTTATTTATTGACTTTATTTTATTAGATTTCGTCAGCGCAGGCGATAGAACTAGCGTTCAAATACTACAGCGGGACAGCACATGGTAATAAAGTGCGCCAGAGCCAGATAGTGGTCGGAATATAAACAATATTTAGTCACGTATAACTTGATTGAAGTCAGCGTCCTTACTGTACACTCATTCAAGAATGTGTTCATAAATTATTATTTCTACTGTTTAAATAGTTATCTAGTTATGCAAACGGAAGTCCAGTTTCTTCTATTCACGAACCCACAATCACAGGTGTGTTTAAACAACAAATACACGCTGTGATGTGACACCATTGATTTAATTATATGTCTCTGTTATTAATTATTATAAACATTTAAAAGATTGTAGTTATAATTCTTTCTATTATGTTGTCAATTTGTGCAACTAAACAAAACTATTATATGCCTATATATACGCACCAAAGTCTTGCGCACGTTAAGTTTTTCCAGATAAAACTGTCTTACACTAATAAAGCACGATTATTTTTACACTGCGTAATGAACGCTTTGTTTACCTCTAATTTATTAATATTTATACAGCGTTCAATCGTTCTACAGATTTACTAAGGTATATTTAACCGTAACGTCAAATGTAACACAAATAGCAAATAGAGCTATTAATGTAAGGGTTTGCCTTCTTCTCTGTACGTTGTAGCTCTATACATAGGCTATACACCCAAAGTATCTCTATGTTAACTGTTAAGTTATGCCTGTGATTTATTAATTAAACGGCGCTACGTATACACTGCACGAAATTAGATAATCTAGATGGACCAGCAGCGCAAATAAGCAGTTTTAGAAACGATAAGAACAGCTATGTTTTGCAAACAATTGGAAAATTGTTGTTTATTTTAAATTCAATTTGTAATTTAAATATAGAATTAAAATTTGTTTTTAGCTTTGGAAAATTTAAAAAGAAGTTATACGGCGCTTTAACTTATTGTGACAAAGTACTGGTTTTCGGGAATCATTTAAGAAGTGATCCACCAGATACTAATTGAGTAATAACACGTCCTTAGCACATTGAAGAAATTATATACTGGGGTAATGATGCTTACTGTTCTAATTTCATTCCAATAACATTACTAAAAACCTATTTGCATCCGTATAAATATGAGCAATGATTTTCATTTTTTTTTCTAGTTTTATAACAATACAGGCTTTTGGATTCTTGAAATTCCTAAGATCTTTAGTGCGTTCTTTGCAAGCCTTGTGTGGTTCCATGACAAAGGATCTCAGACACAATACCTCACTGACAAATGATCTCAGGGACAAATTATCTCAGGGACAAATGATCTTAGGGACAAAAGATATCAGGACAAAATATATATCAGATATCAGAACAAATGATTTTATAGACAATAGAACTCAGACAAAATCTAAGACAAAATATCTCACGGCAAAATATGTGTAGACCTAGTATTTTAGATTATTTTAGGCGATTTTTACAATTTGAAAAATTGACTGTATTAAGGATTTTACGTACACTTTTTATATATATATAACAATGTGAGAAAAGATGTGTCGTATAAGTTTGTAACATTACATTAAACATATTAAAAGTACAATTAAATATATAACATTCGTAGATTTAAAATAAGTTTCTGTAAACAATGTAGGTCGGCTTGCTGATCATGAGACGATTCTACCACATTAGGTGGACGAAACTAGACCAAAGGGGATTGCTCATTTATTAATGACAGGGCTATGAAAACACGCCTTCGCAGCAAGGTGGCCGCTCGCTTTGTTGTCGGACAGGTCCTAAGGGGGAGGACATCCGCCCTCCGTGGACCATGCTGCGTCAAACGGCCAATGACAAAACGTCCCCGTCAATCGACCCCGTCGAAGGGACCATCGACAAATGGACCCAGTCATATAGGCTCCCGACAAATAGGCTCCCGTCATTTTGGCTCCCGAAAAAACAGCCCGCGTCATTACAACTCACGACAAAACGGCTCCCGTCATTGCGACCCCTGACAAACAGACTCATGTCATTTAGGCTCCCAACAAAAGGGCCCCTTGTCAATATGGTTTCCGTAGAGACTAATTCTCCTGGCGAAAAGTACTCATTGAATATGACACCTGGCAGTGGCACCCCTTTTTTTAATGCTCTTCAGAGTTAGCTTAGCCAATACTCTTAAGTAATAAAACGTATGCATCTCTTGTTAGGCCTTATTTTTATATTATTTATATTTTTTTGGTATAAGATATAGTAAGTTGTATGTTATCAAAACAAAATGTCGTTATCCTGTAAACATCTAAATATCGTGAAATTATACCTCAGTTCTCGGTTTTAAGCAACAGATCTTAGTCTGGTAAATTAAACATTATCAAATTTTTAAAATTTGTCTAATTTAGCTGCTGATGGCTCGATTTGTTGGTGCAATGATGTTGGTTTTTATGCAAATAGTGGTAATACGATTCATTTGTCTGGAGCCAATATGTCGGGAGTCATCTCATTTCTAAGGCCCAGATCCGTCTCTGGGTGCCTGTTTTGAGTGTTAATGGTTCATGGTTCTCATCCATAAATGCACCTCACTATTCAAAATACTCCCTTTTTAAAATACTGAAAAAAATTCATAAAACGTTGTAACGTTATTATATATTTAAAGAAATGTTTTTTTTTCCTTTTCAGTGCTTGTTATGAAACGCATTTTTAAAATCTGCATTTGATTTTTATACCCTTAAAACGTAACTTATTTTTTTTTTGTTACGCGCAGCACTAAAGAACACTTGTAGTGAATCAACACACTACGCCAGTTCTTATTTTTACTTCCTCTCAAGTGACATACAAGAACAAACAAATCAGTCGACTGGGTACAACAATTCTATTGAACATCTTTAGGTAAATTTTCGTTTCAGTCCAGTGGGTACACTGGACGGTTAAAGTAGTATGTAATCTGTCACGATATAGCGTCGGTAATTATACGGTAATGTTTGCTGAGTTTCGGTAACATTCGTTACTGTAAATCAGTTTAATGGACACAAGCGAGTTGACGAGATTCCTTCCATAGTGTTGTTGACATGGAATAAAAACGTGCTTTTTAGATTTAGACCGTAAAAAAAATAAAAAAATAAAAACTTAAGCCTAAAATTAATTTAGAAATTTTATATTTTTAGAATAAATGCTATAAAAGTTGCAAATCCAGAGAACTTGAAAATAATTTGTTGAGTTTAAGGCTACATTTCTATTTATTTTCATCAAGCCTAAGTTATAACCGGATGTTTCACTTTCGTAAGACAAATATTGATTGGCTGTACAGTAACTTAGTGATCGATAACTATTTGTTTACAAAACTTTGCAGATCAAGTTTTCAAATAACAAAGCAAATTTAAAACCCCATGACCTAGTTTTCTATTTTTAGCTTACAATGTGTACAATAAAATTTGTGTCGGCCTATCCAATAGCAGGATGCCATTGTTTATGTCGCCATTACACGTGAAAACCAAATTGTTTTTGCTTTTTTTTAAATATTTTTTTAGTTACCGAAAATATTAAAAACATCAAATACGTCCAATCTTTAGTAAAGTCCGAAAAAAACCAGACAGACAGGATTTTATAACCATAATATTTGTAACTACGCCGTGCAAGATTTTTAAATTAATTTATGCACCTCTCAAATACCTTTGAGACTTTTCTCGCTAGTGACCATTGCCCGTTGAAACGAAAATAAAGTCAAGTGCATTAAATTAATGTTTTAACTAAATTTAAAGTTTAATTGACAGAAAATTAGTAACAATTGGGGAATTAGTAGATCTAAATACTATTAATAAACTCGTGTGTGGTAATTAATGTTTTTTTTTTAAGAAGCACTAAAAAAAACTTGCAGAAGATTTGCGACAACTACATATAGTAAAATAAGACTAAAGTTAAAAGTAGTAAGAAGGACTAGAACAATGCTTAGTAGCAGCAATAATTTGCATATACACATACAATAATTAAAAATACAAAACAATTAGCCAAACAGTATTTAAAATGCAACTAAAATCAATCTATGCACATTTTTAAACATTTTGTGTAAAAAATAATATGGCGCAAAATAAAATATGGTTTACAGTATTTCCGTTTGTTTCCCGAACGGCGTGACAGACTACGCCATAATTTTACTGCATTTTTTTTACTGCTGTACCATTTCGGGATTTTAACCGACGCTATATCATGCTTTTACTAAGTAGTGTGCATATATTTTTATTTGAAATTGTTATGTCCAGTTATTACGTTGTCAGTACTATGTCCAGTTATTGTGTGACCAGCATAATCTTTACTTATTATCATATTATGTGGTCAGCACTATGTCCAGTTATTGTGTGACCAGCAGAATGTTTACTTATTATCATGTTATGTGGTCAGCACTATGTCCAGGTATTGTGTGGTTAGTACTGTCCAGTTTTTGTGTGGTGAGCACTATGTCCAGTTTTTGTGTGACCAGCATAATCTTTACTTATCATATTATGTGGTTAGCACTATGTCCAGTTTATGTGTGGTCAGTACTTTCTAGTTATTGTTTGGTCATCAATTTGCCAAGCGGTCTTTATATTCCTACACACAAAAGCTGGGTCGACTAAAATTTGCTCTACACACCTACCTAATCCCGTGATAACAGCTGGACCATAATTCACGATTACTATTAAAGTTCAGTTATGGCTAGAGTAACTAATCTATAGTATATCATTTGATCTAGTTCCAATGGTTAGCAATTTAGTACGTTTTTGTTTATGAAACTTAATGCATTTTAGCTGTATCAAAGCCAATACACAAATTTAAGCATATTTATTTTCTTTTCTTATTTTCATTGCATTTAAACGCTTGTAACTATAAAGTTTCTTATTTTTTTTTTTTCGGTTTCTGGCCGATTTTTGACGCTAAAACCTAACAGTGTCTCTACTTAAGTAAAGACTAAATTGCTAAATATATTTTAAAAAGTAAAACCTACGTCGTTTTGTCGTTTTAATAAATGTTAACTAAGTTTAAAGTAAGCAGTTCCTCTTAAATATAAATTTCAGGTATTTTTCAAAATGGACGCAGTAGAATTTTGCAGAAACGTGTTCAAGAGTCTGGAGAATGTGTGGACCAACAAACTGTTGTGTGATGTTACAGTCAAAGTTCAAGACGAAACATTCGAATGTCATCGACTCGTTTTGGCGGTTACTTCTGATTTCTTTCTGGCACTTTTTCGTTCTGGGATGAAAGAAGTTACAGAGAATGTCGTAGTTCTGCACGACATGTCTAGCGAAGCGTTTCATTCGATTCTGAAAATAATGTACACTGGTGCCGATGTTTTAACTGTTGAGAACTATATTGAGGTGTGGAGAGCGGCTCATCAGCTTCAGATTCAGACAATTGTTCAAGGTTGTGAGAATTTCGCTAATAGAAATATTACAAAAGATACATGGGAAACATTGTTCAGTCTTGCTAAATGTTTACAATCAGAAAGAGTTCTTACTGAACTGCATGTGTATATGTTAAAAAAATTTAGTGAAGTTTGTATTTCCCCAACATTTCTACAACTCCCTTTTGAGGATATTCGGGAATTGATCAAAAGTCAGGACCTCGTAGTCAGCAGTGAAGATGTGGTCATTGAGTCTGTGATTAGATGGGTCACGTATGACCCTAAAGTGAAGAATGAGAGAAACGACTGTACACACAAAACTCATGAAGATACTTCAATGATTGTAAGCTCAGAAAACAGCGTGAAGTTGGACACTGCAGGTTCCAGGAAAGTTTATCTGAACAAATTGTTAAGAAAAGTAAGGACCTGCCTTGTAAGTCCTTTACGTTTAGCAATAGTACGTAAAATGGATTTGGTAATGGAAGATAGAGATTCAAGAGATATCATCGACTATGCTAAAAAATATAATGCTAAAGAGTTTCGACACTGCCAGTGTCCATCGGCTGCACTTACTAGATCGTGTAGTGGGTATATACATGCTGGCGTGTTCGCAGATAGTACCGGAATGATCAAAGTGATAAATGCTTGCAATGAAAAATCGTATAGAATACATAAATGTATTAATTTAAACCGATGGATGCAGATAGTCCCATATGATGGAAAGCTCTATGCCGCAGGTGAATTTGCCACCAACAGAAACTGTTATAGAATGTTCGTGCTGAGTGATAACAACTGGGTACAAGTTAAGGAATTGTCAAGTCTCAACTTGTTATTAGTCTCGCACGCTGACTTTATCTATATTCTAAACAAAGATGAGAAAATAATATACAGGATGAATCCTAAAAAGGAAACTAAGCAATTGGAAAAGTTTTTAGAATTTCCTGAAAATATTGTCATTACACATGCAATGTTTCTTCAAAACGATCTCTTGTTGTTTGGCTCTGATATTCAAAACAGAGTTGACAAGACCATTGTCTATGAATTAAAGATTTCCTCCAAAGTTTTTACCAGATTAGACAATCTAGATGGACCAGCTAAACATTTGATTAGTTTTAAAAATGACAATGACAATTATATATTACAGGCAAATGGCAGTCTTTGGATAGTTCTTTATTCTTCTCACATTGGAGGCACTGAATTTAAATCTCTTGCCAAGCTTTGGAATTTTACAAAGACGTTATATGGTGCTTTAACCTTCCAAAGAAAACTGATCATTTTTGGAAACAATCCCAATAAAGACCCACTAGGGGAGAAAAAATTAAATGAAATTCCTGATCACTTTAAATGTATACGTCATGTAGGTACTGATGAAGGAAATGTCTCCAATTTCATTCCGATCACTATCCCCAGATATTATATACTTTAGGAAACATTTGGCGATGTAACCTTAGTATGTATTCTAACCACTGATCTACTAATCGTTTTAAAGCCAAAAATTGTTTACACATTTTTACTTACTGCTAAAAATTTAAATTGTTTTATCAACATTAACTTAGTTACAACCATTCAATTCTAAAAGAGAAAAATTACATTTGATAGATGTTTAAGAATAGGGCCTAGATGTTTTATAAGTTATATCTCCGTAAATCGTGTTAAAAGAAAAATTTCTTTCAAACTAGAACATAAAATGTGTTTTAGAAATTTTTTGTAATTTACAAACATAAGTAGACATGAGTTACATGCCCTTCGCCCTGCTGGTGGTTTATGTCATAAAGGACTTCAGTATCCTGTATATATGCATATATATATATATATATATATATATATATATATATATATATATATATATATATATATATATATATGCTTTAATCATTTGGTGTAAAGTGTAGCTGATGGTTAATTGGTTGATGCCGAAGTAATAGAAAACAGTTTATTATTACTAAAATATATAGACCAATGTACAATAATAGTATTCTAGAATTTAAGTTAAAAATGAACAAAAAATGTTTTTGTTTTTTTTTAATTTACCATGATTTAAGTGCTTTATTAAAAGCATGTATCTATGTACATAGATATTATTTTTTTAAATAATTTAAATTTGGAAATAGTATTATAAAAACTATAAATTTTAAGGTTCAATTTTTTATATATTTCTTATTTATACTGTTAATATCGAAATTGACAATGTTTAGTTAATTTGTGATTTACAATTTTCAAATCAATATTGATTGCATCGCCCATACTCATAAGCATTCAATAAAATGTAAAACAGAAAAACGTGTAATTTGTTGGAGTGTGTGTGACCATGCGCTTGTCTGTGAATATATAGGAGTGTTCATTGCAGATTTTTAATGCAACAATTTAATATCAATCATTCAGTTTGTTTTACATTCGAATACATTTCCAATATAACAGGTTGAAACATATTCTTAACAGAAAAATATTTAACTTCTAAAAAAGATTACATATTTTTATAAGCTTCAATTTAACTTACTACCTCTGTCTGCTTTTGTCTGTCGAAATTTTGTCGTCATCGATTAAAACTGGCGAGCGAAATTTCGACTTTTTCTAACCAACCAATTTCTATAAAAATCGGCTCGTGTTTTAAGACTCGATAACATGCAATATGACATCGAATTGATGATTTTTGTTTTAAATTAGTATGATGACCTACTACTGATCACACTTTTATACTCGTAATGTCATGTTTCTTTTGTACGCAACACTTTTTAGTCATGCAACTCTATTGTATTAAAAATGTTCAAGTTTTGTAAAAAAAAAAATACATAAAGCAAGATTTTATGTAATAATGCATTAAAAAGGAGAAAATAAATGAGTTTAAAAATGTATATAGATATATATATATATATATATATATATATATATATATATATATATATATATATATATATAAATAATTATATATAATTATATATATATATATATATAATTATATATATATATATATATATATATATATATATATATATATATATATATATATATATATATATATATATATCAATGGTATAGAGGACAAATGCAGTATCTCCACAAAAAAAACATAATCTCGAGAAAATTAATTTATAAATTTGATTCCAATATTAAAATAGTGCAAAATATTATGTTTAAACATTTATAAAATATTTGCATTCTACATATCTGACATTGTACATGAGTGTTCTATAGCTTGTATTATTTACAGCATTAGGATAAATGTACATCGATTTGATCTTCAGTGACCATTCATTGACTCAAATGTGACATTAGCTAACTTCAATGTCAAGTTAGACTAGTTTTAGATAAGTAGTTAAATTAAGCATTTAGTGAACATACTGCATGTCTGTAACATGTTAAAACTGTAACCTATGATAAGGCAAGACACATACGACATTATAATTTATAGTATTCGCCATTATCACATACACCAGCTACCCATCTGAGCTGGGTGGAATCAGGGACATACTACAGTCACATATCCGAGCGAGAGACCTTTGATCTAGCAACAAAACGCGCTACCTTTCGACCGTTCCGTCCCAATTTCAAATTATATAGTAATTAATTTTTGTTGCAAAATCCAAATACGTGTTTTTGAAACACCATCTAAACTGTACGCCATCGAACGATGCAAACTATGATGAGCTCAGAACTTCACAACTTTCTCCATTCAGTTTAACTTTGGTAGGGGCAAGTGATTTAGATGTGTGTAAGTTAGCAATAATTGTTTCCATCGTAAAGATAACACACGAAAACAAGGTTCGAACCATGTAGGCTTTCAAATTGTAAGTAGTCATAATTAAAATAGTTGTTTTTAACACTCCTACACTACATAGAATGCCCTGGCCTAAAGTCGGGGCAAGGGGGTAGGTTATTATATCAATGTAGTATTATTTTCATGAGTTCAAGATTTTTTTTTTTTATTCGTTCTTTTTTTTTTTTTGTTGTGTATTTAAGTTAAACATTCCAATAAACACTACTATGAAATAAATAAAAGTATCTCCCAGGTAAAGTTGCAACCCACGAGTTTTTGCGGTTGCTTATTTGTGCAATGGTCGTATCCATTGTCAGATAGCCCAAACAACAGTGTGTAAATGAAGAGAGAGGTAAAGATCGGTGGGCTCCATGTTCATTAGTTGTTTAGAGAAACTTTATTATAGCATCATGTAAGCACGTGATCACCTTGCGTACGTGACCAGAAACCCTTGTTGCCGTAATAGTTTGTGAATAAACACAGCAGATCCATTTGTGGATAGTTATTACAAGTTGAGGTTCCATTTTTTGTGAATGTGAATGTGAATGTGAATGTGAATGTGAATGTGGATGTGGATGTGGATGTGGATGTGGATGTGGATGTAGATGTAGATGTGGATGTGGATGTGGATGCGGATGACGATGCGAATTTCAATGCCAATGCCAATGCAACGGCCTAAATATTTGGACATGCGCAGAGCTGCACTTATCATGGGTGCTTTACGACATTCCGCTTTATTATATTATAAGTAAACTGTAATATATTAGAAGGATTACTCTCATTTTATTTAGTGATTCTTAACAAAGGTTCAATCGAATCCCAGAGGTTCGATGAGTCACTCTCAGGGGTGAATACTCACACCCGAATCATATTAATTGCTACTGGATTTTGTCAGTGCAGACGATTTAACTAGCGTTCAAATACGACAACGGGACAGCACCTGGTTATAAAATGCGCCAGAGTGAAATACAGGTTTTATGAATATATACAACATTTAGTCAGGTGTTTAACTTGATGGAAGTCAGCGTCTTAACTACATGATTTGCAACGTCAAGTTATTACACGTCCTTAAGCTGCATGAAAAATGAAAATACAAAAATACAACGCTGACTGAATCGAAGGTGAATTTCTGAACTGTTGCGTCAGGGCAACAGCAAAGCCAAAAAAGTTACGAACCAGTGATTTGTTTTTATGTCTCTTTTATTCATTCTTTTAAAAATTTCAACGATTGTTGTTTTAATTCTTTCTATTGTGTTTTCAATTTGCGTAACTAAACAAAACTCTAATTAGCCTATATATATACGCACCAAAGTTTTACGCTCGTCAAACACAATTATCTGTCTAGCACTAATAAAGCGCGATTATTTTTGATACAGCGTAATGAACACATTATTCACTTCCGACTATTTGATTCTTACACAACGTTCAATCGTTCAACAGATTTACTAAGGTATATTTAACCGTAACTTCAATTTTAACACAAATAGCACATAGAGCGGGTATCGTTAGGGTTAGGCGTCTTCTCAGTACGTTGTAGCTGTTTATGTAGGCTATACAACTAAATTATGTCTTTGTTAATTGTTTAGGTAATGCCTGTGACATATTAATTAAACAGCCCTACGTATCTAATCTAATAATATATAAAGCTCAGTTCTGTATGTAATGCATTTGTATGTCGTTGGAATTGTACGATTTTAAGTGTTAGAAAAATTATCGTGCGCATTTGTCTAAATTTATGAGCTAAAAAATTACCATTGAAAGTGTTGGGGAATAATTTTCATTTTTCAAATTATAGTAATAATTGTCGGCATGTTCATTAAACACAAGTTTTAAAAAAAATATCATCTTTTACAAAAATTCTAATTATGTCTTTATTTAGTCCTATAGCACTTACTTCCCTTTGATAAATTAGGAAAAACACAATTACTTCCCTTTATAAAAAACCATTGCATTCCGTGAAAATAATTTACTTTTTAATTACTTTGTTTTGGTGTTGGGAAAAAAAATAATTACATAATTAGCGGGGATTGATCAAGTGCAAATGTTGTAGGTATTTTACGGATAAGCTTGGACTATTAAAATTGTTTATTAAATTGAAACAGGCGCGTTCGTTTAAGTGAGTGCAAAAGACTGTGAATAAGTTGGGGTACTATAGTCGTTCATTAAGCTAAAACAGGTGATTCCGCCCCGGGCGTTTATGTTCGCGTTAGTGTTTTCTTTGTGTTTAGGTGGGTTTGCGTTAGTGGTTGCGTTTTAATTTGGTTCGTTTTTGTTCTTTCTTTTTTCGTTTTTGTTTGTGTTTTTTTTTGTTTGGGTTTGTATTTGTGTTTTTGGTTGGTTTTGCGTTTGGATTTGGTTTGTTTTCGTTTGCTTTTTTCGTTGATTTTTTTTTTGTTGGTATTGGTGTTTGTGGTTGGGTTTGTTGTTAGGTTTTTGTTTTCGTTTGCTTTTTTGTTTGTTTTTTTCTTTGTGTTTGTATTGGTGTTTGTGGGTATGGTTGTGTTTGTTGTTAAGTTTTTGTTTTCGTTTGTATTTGTAATTGTGTTAGCGTTATGTTTGCGTTTTGTTGTTTTTGGTTGGTTGTGGTTTGGGTGGGCAATGCCGGGTTTATGATGATTACTAAACACACAGGTAATGGTCTTTAACAGAAAGGTTTTTCACAGAAGCCAGAGCAGGGCCT